CTGCGTTTACCATGAACATTTTGCGTATGTTGTCATGACATCTTGGACCGCGCGTGACTGGAATGAGCCGATCAAACTGGTGATTGTAACGTTTTTGCTACAGGTGATTATCACTTTTTTAATATCATGACGTTGATAGATTGTACCATGAGAGGACAACTCGCTTAAAGGGCGATGGTCGTCGCGCCACGCATGTGTGACATTTGTGTTGATAAACATTGTTTTTTTCACAATCCAATGCGCTATTTATGGAATCACGAGTATGTGTTTTTGCCAAGGCGCAACGTACACATATTACCGCCGGCGACTCCTTCGATACCTTCCAATCACCAACGAAATGACATAGTTAAAGCTTAGTAACGTCTCAGTTTGTTGCTCTGCGCAATAGTCAAAGTCGCCCGTCTTTGTTCATAATCATATGAAATATCACAGGCATGGCAAAAGTGAGTGAGCGAGATTTGGATTTGGTTCCCATACTCACGCAAACTTACGTTCAAAAGACACCTGTGTTTTCTTGTTGATGACAGGGAATTTGTTGCCATATGTACATTACTAAATATGAGTGATGAACCACTATGTATTTCATATAGACTATAAATGGGGAAACAATAGCAGAACAAATAACAGTAAACCATACATATAGTGTAATCAACACATATACCACATATAACACAACAGTCAAGGGCATAATTTCATTCATATTTACTTCAACAAATTGAAACGAGTTGTTGTTGTTAAGCAAATATTAATCAGTACTTGTACCATCACATTACGTATAGAGCGCCGCCAAATTACCCGATTCATCCTTCGGAGTGGAAAAGTCTCCCCAACAATTCAAAGTCGGTTAGTTATCACTAAAATCGCACTCACATATTTAACTAAGGCCCTTCACTTTAGTATCACAATAGCTTGAAATACAAGCATTAAATATGATGGGAGGAGAAAACTCTAATCAAGGACCCCTTGATAATATACAAACAGACATAATCGTCTTGTAAGTTCAAACAATTCCCGAAAGCGGTGTATATTTAATGGATTGTTTTGTTTCCCCTGGAGGGACTTTATCCGGTTACCGACCATGCGTTGTGTGCCTTCCTGTGTGGTTTGACGAGATGCATTTGTTACTGACCTACATGATGTCGTGGTCATGTTAATGGATTCAATACACAGTGCAGGGCACGTGTTCGTGGATAGGGAGAAGAAACGCAACGTCGCCAGTCAGGTACACATACCCTTAAATTTCAGGAGACACCGGAGTAATGGGCATATGGAAAACCCGTTAAAACATAGGCAAACTATGGTTTCGGTCTACTATCATGTCAATGGCAATATGGCAATTTGGTCCTTCTAATCGAATATACCAAGACGATCAAATCACCGGTTGACGTGTGTCGACAGAAGCAATACAGTATTGTTAACATCTAACACGAATTAACCTCAAATTGGCCGAAAAACGACACAAATCTCGCTTTTTGGTGGTATTATTAAAAATCCTGGCTCAAAATAGGGGTCGGTTCATGCGGTGCACACAGCCACAAGCCATCTATTAAAGTATGCATACCCTGGATTTTGACATAGTCAAACCCACTTACCATATATAGTAGGGCAGGGTTCATGTTTACGATCTTTATTCATAATTGCCGACAAAATGTGATAGTAATTTACCGACATTTTTCATTCCCAACGCCAATTCTCGTCTCCATGTGTTACCAATACTTCGGTGTCACGTCCATGCTGAGGGTCAGAGGTCACCGTCGTTCTACACAATAACCTGAAGGCATTTGTCAAGAGAAGAAGTAACCAGATGTACTGATTAAACCAAACTGGTTCATAATTGAATTTAATGTACAAGCTTGAGTATTTAAATTATTTCTATTTATTAAACCGATATTTTGTTTTCTATACACCGCGATTTCTAAGCTAAAGACCACCATAGTGTTTCTACATGAATATCAAAATAATATATAAATTTTTTCATATTTTTAATCCATGTAAAACTTAACAAAAATACGTTTGTGGCACCAAATGGGAAATAAGTGGTGGCGACTTTATGTGAAATTGCAAATTTATAATCATTTTGGTTCTGTTTGCATATTCAAAGTAGTAATACAAACAATAACTGTGAAATATTTTATATTAGCTGGAATTAATTTTCAGTGAAACGACATTTGAGCTGTTTTGTATTAAGTTTATTTTCACGGATATTTTATGAGTTGAATGTAAGTAACACAAATAAATTTCATATTCATTGAATCAGCCCCTGTTAAAAAGGGCTATGGAAAACAAAAGTTTCACCATTTTCGTATTCCATCCGTGTTTAGAAAAACAGTCCCAAGGATTAACGTTATTTGAAGTGATCCGATTGGGTGGGTAATATTTTGGGTGAAATGTACGTTACCTACAAATATAATGTTTACAAATAGCAATGCTATAGAAGTGGTTGTAAGAAGATTTAGTTAATAGTAAAATTCAGAATCCGACCCTGGACAGAAGACTCGTTGATTTGTGAGTAAGGAAAGCTCCGAGGGTTTATGCACGGCACTTTTATATACTAACATTCATCTATGCATGTACATAATGTCCAAAAAACATTATATTGCACATAACTGCAACTTTAATGCATATATTGAGAATAATGAAGTTGTGCTTTGTGTTAATTTGTTCAAGTTAGCATGGTCGACATGTATATTTAGCAGTGTATCATTTATTTTTGCAATAAAATTTAAAAATAGGTATTATTTTAATTTCTGAAATACACCTTACATATTCAGTAAATAGATATAATAAGAGTGGACTACAATAGTAAATAAACGGTTCTACAGAAAATAATTCTCATTATATGCTGTTTATGATAGAATATGATTACGAAATAGCGAAACGAACACGCTAACGAACATGATAACTGTATACCAGTTAGAGGTGGCGGCACGAAATGTTGCATGAGGGTGTTAGGTCTGCTTACCAACCTTGCACCGAAGGCGCGTCTTTATTCGGAAATCTAGACCCTTTGAAACGCTATTTACTACATTTTGAGGGGCAAATTGTGCTGAGACAAAGGGTTTCAGCTTGATTTTGGAGGGACGACGCCCCAACATTTTTTAGGGGGCGATCGCCTCTCTGACCCCCTGTGTCGCCGCCACTGCCAGTTTTTCAACAAACTGTTCAGTTCAGTCCAACTTGGAAGAACTTTGGATTTATGTTTTATTACATTTATGTTTTTTTTAATTTGTAATACTTTTATTTTTTCGGATTTCTAATTGAACCACAGGTTTTATTATGCTTAGATGATGCACTTGCATGTAAGAGGCTGTCATGAAGCTTAGAAAAAGGAGCTCAATTATTCTATCAACTACATAAATTATGGCACATTCCAATCATATGTTCTCACAGGAAAGTCCATTTATTTATTTATTGCGCAGTGCAGAAATACTTTACCTCTCCACGGCTGAAGTATGCGTCCGAGCGAAATGTGCACAATGCGTCGAGGCAATAACCTTTATTTCATCAGGTGTGTGTTTGCTTTCGATTGGTACACACATTCAAAGGATCAAACACTACAAGTTATCATGCAATGAGAGGTTTTAGTACACTCTCTTCTTCCCCATGGTCTATGTGTTAATTCATACACCGTGGCCAATACAATTAACACTATTATTGGGACTACAACCTCTTAAGAGCGTGTCTATATATTTACTTTATACGTGATATCCATACACCGTGACGTGGGAGATGGATGTACTTAGACTAAACTGTAATATTATCCATCTCATCACACTTATATTTTGTCCTAGCTGTCCCCACAAATATCAAGTGGTATTGGAATTTGTTTTCCCAGACACGAATTCACTGGACAGGTCGAAAATGTGTTTAAATACGTCTCATTTGTTTATAGGGCGGTGGTCGTTGTGCTGTTTGCGTGCGAAGTTGGTGTAAACAAACAGTGTAGTTTGCAAGCGTTGTATACTTGGTACCCATACCTAACATATTGCGATTTGAAAGACTTCCGTTTGTGGTTTTCTGTACTGCTTTTCTGATGATCATTATTCATATATCGTCTTTTGACATGCATACCGTCGTATGTGGTGATTTGGGGTTTCAGCTGTCAACGTGAGTTTTGTGGTTTAACCTCAAAACATTGACGATTCAAACCATCTTATACAATGACACCTGCATTGGACGTAATTCGAAGCAAATGGACTGTGAAGTTAAATGGACATGCGCCGTACTGAACGACATTAGGGTCACCGAGCACTGTTACTTGTTTGACATATGCCAAAACATTCCAGTAATACACGTACGCCTGCATTAGTTTGTTTTTACGGTCTGTGTTTGTACAATAGTTAATAGATTGATTTGGCCATTCCAGTGGTGGCATTTTGACTTGAACAAATAAACGTTTTCTTAACAAAAAGTATAGCCGTACTAGTATTGCCTCGTGGGAGGGAATCCCGCGTACAACCCTCAATAATAAACCCTACTCAGATACATAGTACATTTGCTACGATATCCTGGTATAAAATGATGTTTATTAAACCCACAGTCTAAATTTGGGTACATTTTATTTAGAAAAAATGAATCATCAATCGTATATATGTTAAAAAGCAAAACAAAAAATGCGTTTCATGTCCAATGTAAAGTTAAATAAAAAAAGGCCAATGATGGCCCACCGGAAAGGGTTAAGGTAAAAGTTACGGCCATCTATTACGCCAACATTGTCTGTGGAGGCTGGCGTGTAAATGTTGCCCTCTCCTTCACCGCCAATAAATTTATTCAGCTTTTAACCCCCTCAGTAAAATACTGACCCATAACATACTTCGAAGAGTAACGGATGGACGTTAACTGCACAGACTCATTAATAACCACACTCCCAGATTTCTTTTAACACGACAACTGTGATCAATAGTTTTGTATTTTGAGGTATGTGGCCATTAGTCTGTGTTATGGTATCGCTCATCTCCGCTTTCATGTGATTTTTCTTACCAGCTGTCTTCGTCAGACTAATGACCACCATACATGCCTACACATTCGTAAACACCGCCAACCTGGAAATATTATTAAAAGAGCATTTCAACGACTTTCGTCGACATGATATTAACATCACAGCCAAGTATGCAGTCCGCGATTTCATCAGAGACAGGTTTGTCGAGTATGGTTTAGATGTGTCAATGCATGAATTTGCGACTAGGAAACCAGAGGTAAGTATATAACCCGTGGGACTATACACCAACGTTTTGGATGGTTTAACACGGTCTAAATAAACTATAAATATTAACATAGACTGACACTTAGTTATGATCCTTAGCCGAGAATGGTGAAGATATACAATTCACCACACCCACGTATATTTTAAGGTAGACATCACACATAATAAATTCCATTACAATGTACAATGGTTTAATTTGTACAATTAAAAAACAACACTTCCAATAAAATATAACACAACATTATATTCAAGTAATGTGATACAGTACCGTATTTTGTAAAAATTACTCAAATAATTACTATTTTGGGGCAGTTCCGGAAAACACATAACATCATTTGCTTTATCAATTTTATAAATTTCCAGAATCAAGATTTTTTAAATAACAAAAAGTACCTCATCTTGGTATATAATCACCGTCAATTTAATACATGGCATTGTACCGTATTAGACAGCATATTTGACAGTTTTCTGACACTCACAAAATAATTGACATTCACTAAACTGTAACCATTATTTTCAAGAAACATCCTTATACTGACCGGAGTATGATTCGTTGTTATGTTTATTTAAAGCGCGGTGGTCGTCGTGCAGCGCGTGTTCGAATTTCATGTAAATAAACGATGTATTTTACACGCGTTGTATACGTCGCTATGAGTCCCATATCGAACAGGACGCGGCATGACGACTGCCGCCCTTTAAGACAATGCCACAACTCGAGATTATAATTTCAGAACACTGGTATACGTTGATATATATGCAAAATGTACTGGGAAGACAGTATTGGAAATGAGCAATGCGACAGTGTCGTATTCATGCTCCGCCGTTATGCACAAATTTGCACAAGATTTTGCTTTCAAGCAGATCTATACGAACTTCTATTACCAGAATTATTATTTGGTGCATACTCCTTCGAACGCCGTATGTTAGTCCCAAAACTACAAATCTTAAATTTCTGGACGATTTATACACTCGTGTAATGGTGCTGTTTAAGTTTCATTTTTATGTTGACATTGCTCGTGCTGCAATTTGAAATCAAAGGAGGGTGCGTTACAAGTATCATCGTTGCGTTTATATTCCCATGGTGGTTGTGGGATTGAAACGGATGCAAAAACAAATCCCTTCTCTCAGTGTTTTGTGGTGCCAATATCTAGCCAAACAACCACGTACACGAAGTTTCTAAAACAATGTTACAAAGAACATATATATATTTATGTCAATCAACGCGATGAAGGACGTTCTGATGTCAATACTGATAACAAGTACGTATTTGATCAGTTCACAGGATCCAACGTAATTGGTATCCTGAACGGCCAGAAAGCTATGACGTCGGACGATAAGATCGTACTGCTAGGATCGCATTATGACACAGCCGATACAACGCCTGGTATGTCTGTTATGATTCAATTATATATATACTGTATTGTGTTATATGTGCAGTAATTATACAAGTGGGATTGTGGTCACGGCATATCGGTGCTTGTTCGACCTTGTTGTAATCAATACAAGCTAATAATTTACAATATACTTTTCTCCCAGGCAAGACCCGTATTAAGTCTCCGGTGACAAGAGTTACGTAAACACAACATGATTCGTGGGAACCAAAATAAGATATGATGAATTTGATTTATTGTATATAGTATTTTCCACTTAATATTTGAAATTGGGTATATTTATCGCTTTCAATGACCTTTTGAAGATCTGGAACTCGAACTAAATTGGAACCCTCGTACTAATATCGGCGAGTATGTGAACGGGTCTAGTTTATTTTTGAAACTAAAAATGGCCGCCAGAGTGCCGGGGATACAACACTGATGTATACATTTTCAAACTATTACGTAGTTTTCAATATACAATTTTTTTTAGAGGCAGTGTGGATTACGTAATTTTATACAATGCTGTTTGGTATGCATCTTGCTAAAACATTAAGGTAATCATTTATCGTGAACTAAAAATATATTTCGGCTAAAAACATAGCAGTATAGTAATATTCGTGTGATAAAAATACTAAAAAAATCGAGGGCACATGCGTCCTGGGTTTACCTATAAGTGAATGTAATCACAAATTCGTGTTATCCTTATTTCATCGAACAAATGCTGCCATTACAATATTTCCTATTTCAATGAATGTTATTATGTTGGTCAAGATAATCGGACACAATTATTACAACAATTATTACAACAAAACTTGATACAAATTAATCTCCTCAACCCTCCTTTTTAAGGTCTTGGTGAATTACTGCAATAACCACTGTTCAAAGATATAACGGTTGCTTACGCGACATGTAGGAAATAAATTTGTTCGTAGAAAACACATATTGTCCAGCTGAAAATGAATAAAAAAAACACACAATTATACCGTTTTTCTACTTTTGGTGGCTCGAAAAATTATTTGCGTACTAGACGTGATGAAACGTATTCAACGTTGTACAAAAACATATAACTTATGCAACCAATAACCATTATAAACGAGTAAGTAACACTTGGCTACTGGGATCCGAAAGTTAAGAAATTGACACCACATTCATTATTGCATACTATTATACATCTGTCGCCGTAACGCCATAAGTTACAGCGTGCCGTAATTTGCGGTATTTTACAAGGTATTTTCATCCTACCATATAAGGAAATGCGACGTCCCAATTATGGAATAATTACGCACGTAAGCGTCCTCTAATAAAACAAACCAACATGGCAGCTACCAGAGTTTGTCCGGACTCCACACAAAGAAGTTCGCTGATTCTGTTCTAAATATTTTGGATGTCGGCATTCCCCATGGAAAAAGATGTATAATAATAAGGTTACTACGAGAATACCTCAAAGTATGCACTCAGACAGTCCTGCGCGTCGGTCGATACTCTAGCTGTACTGTCTTTGTGTATACTTTGAGGTATCCACGTAATAACATTATATTATCGCTTTCTTGTTAGTATCCATGATGTAGCATTACATGTCCACCATACATAGGTTAAATAAAAAGTGAATGTTTTACATAAATGTTGAAATAACGTGTAAAATAATAGAAGCAAGGTATCACTGCTATTATATAGTGTTTGAAAAACCACATTATTTTACAGGCGTTGACGATAACGGAAGTGGCATGGCATTACTATTGGAGACGGCTCGAGTGGTGACGTCACATTGCAATCCAGAATACACAATCATATTCGTGGCATTCGACTACGCGGAGTTCACAGGTCAGATTTTCATAAAAAAAACATTCACAGTATATTTGTATATTACTTACACAATAATACATGAAGAATACGGGGTTTTGTTTACAGCATGTTCACACAGGTATCGCTTGTAAGAATAAACTACGAGCACTTTCAATTAATTGTACGTACCAGAGTCCCTCGACGACCTGTTGATAATAGACTGTGTACGTACCAGTGAGTATTCACAATATACTTTGATGCAAATGGACGTCGAGATCTCGTTGAGAGCGAGAGTGCCACGCGATTTATTTTGCCCCGTAATCTTTTCATCACCAGTTCCATCTTTTCATCGCAAATTCACAAAATAGTCTTGTTTTTAGTCTGCACTTTCCTTCAAAACAGAATTTTTTTCAGAAATATTAAAGAATATAAGGAAACATTGTTGAAAAATTTAGTGGTGAAAAGGTTAAATGGTGTAACCATGATTTTTGAAACAGTGGGTGTGATATTGGCGGCCATTTACGACTAATCAATTCATCAAACCAAATACATGTAGTATCTCAACTCAACATTACCCACATTCCACACTGAACTGTTAATTACCTAAAGAACGTTTTGTTTCATTTTTTTCTGAATTGACAGTATCTTGGGCAGATGACCCATGCTATTGGAATGTACCATGTGGAAGTCAGCGTTTTGTGGAAGACTGGCTGGTCTCGTTCCTGCAGGATCGTGATTCCCCTGAATTCCAGGGAGCTTTCATCGCTGATACTTTGATGAACTGGGATGACAATAACAACACGCAAGATCTGCCAGGTGCTTTTAATGTTGTAAGTAGTATCAACTCAACATTCTGGATGGGAAAAAAATATATGACTCGGCAAGCATGTCACGGATTTCAGTCAAAACATGGTTAAATCGCGGTGTTCGTCGCGCAGCGCGTGTTCGAATTTCATGTAAATAAACGTATTTTACACGCGTTGTATACGTCGCTATGAGTCCCATATCGAACAGGACGCGGCACGACGACTGCCGCCCTTTAATGTAAAACACTGTATTAGTCAAATATTACAAAATCGCTTTACTTCAACAAAAAATAATATCCAATTTTATAATAAATAAATGTGTCTGTATCGTAATCATATGTTCCTTACAAAACATCATGTAAAGAAAAAAGGCATTTCATGTATATCGTACCATTTGTTATCTAAGCGCATGGGTGCAGGTTTCAACTGTCCCTGAGTGGAGCCCTAAGCACAGTAGCAAAACACACTTGATGTCGATATCCGATGACGCAGTTATTTTTAAATTCGTTTCACTGTGTATGAGTGAACGGACAACGGATACTCGTATATTTATTACGGCACTTCAAACGTGATAATTTGGGATTGCTAAATAGCGAATATTATCTGGTAACGGGATCACGTCACGTGTAGGTATGATTACTCCTCGGCGTTAAACATATCTGACATCAGTATATCATTGCATTGTGCCTTTCATCTTCAAAGTGTCACAGTCGCCGCAACGCGCCCTGGTTAATGTGGGACCCATGCGATGTGTGCGTGACGACTTAGGCGCTTTAATAGTGTGATCAATATGTATTGATTGTAATATATTTTCCCGGACCGGACTTCTTGAGATGCCCATATCAATATTAGTTAGTATGTTTCTCTCTTCTAGTTATTTACGGATACGTACACTAGAATTCGTGATAATGGTTTTCGTGGGGATTTCTTATTTGTCTATTCACGACCAGAAGATGCAACATTAATGGAAACCTTCGCGTCTCATTATAACAGTCAGGTAAGTTTTAATTGATTGAGTGAAACTAGTTACAAAGTATGGCGTACTGTACAATATTACCAATCGGTTACTAAGAAATTAAGTCGTTTATAGAATCACTGATGATCACACTGCATAATTGATAGCCTGATGTCATGCCTGGTGATTACCACCCTGATTCACAACTCAAATTGATATTAATAAATCATGTTTAAGATCTAGTACAATGTTTTTGAAGGCATCATTACTGATAAAGTGGGTAACACATCCTCTGCCTAGGCATCATCACTTATAAGATGGGTGATACAGATCCTAGGCACCAAAATGCTTGCCTGGTAGCAAGAAACGACACCACTGAGATTCACGTTTTCATTATCCAAAATAGTTTCGATCAAATGGATTTTTTTTAAAGTCTCCTATAATAATTCTTTTTGTGGCGATTTTTTGATAACTTGTAGAGATGTGTTACTGCTAATGACCACAGTTATGATATACAGAAAATGGTAGCAGTCAATCTTAGTCTTTCGTATTGTTTTCTCCAATTGTTTTCGATGCAAATAACCACCAATATATCGAGCGCGAAAAAGCCATAAGACTTGATTTTTACTTTTAATCATTCTACCCCCCCCCCCCACGTCATTGCGCCCACTTTTTCCAAATGCCATGGCTAGAAAGATCAGTGAAGCACTTGAGAATGGAACGCTATTCGAGGGGCAAAAAGACAAGTCTCGTGGCAATCTCAACGAGATCTCAGCGGCCATTCACATTTACTGTACATGCCTTTGACTCCATTCGTAATTTCAGGATGGTAGTGCGTATCGTATTGAATGCCTGTTACTTCCTATCACTGGTCAGCCTACTACATACCAGGAACGTTTCTATACCAACCAGCTTAGAAGCGATCATCATAACTTCTGGCGAAACAGTAATAGTTTTAAAGCTGTCCAGCTCACTGATTCAGGTAAAAGAATTACTTGCATTTGAGTGTCAATAAAAAACGACAAAGTTTTACTGTTTTGTAGTGTTCATGATCTTAAATTAAATATAAACTTATCAGACTTTGCGATAAATGCGATATTATTTTTATTTCTGGGAGGGCATCCTTCAGAGTCGATTTCGTTATCGTGGTTGTACTTTTTTTTCTGATTTAAATTTATAAAAATCAGATTTAACGTTCATATTGATATTGAAGTTAGTTTATTACACTTGATGATTTACATTTTAAATAAAGATGACAATGATATTTATATTAATTTATATTGTTTTTCTCACAGCTAATTTCCGGGGATACATGCAATCTTGTCATCATCGTTTGTGCGATGACGTCAACCCAATTACGCCAGAAATAATACAATTTTTAGCCAAAACTACAAAAGCAATAGTAGCGACATTATTAGAAATGAGTGCCACTCCGTCATATTGTCCAGGTATGTATTACACTGTAAGTTGCGTTGTAATTTCAAGTGATTATGTTAGATGCGCAGTGATTGTTTCAATTGGTTGTACGCATGCAGACACATTACCGTCGGTATGCATTTCACTTACACTGCACATAGTGGATTTAAAAAGGTGTGTATTATATTAGAATTTATTGACCATGTCATAATGTGGCTGGAAACTGGGGGATTTTTTTATGAAAAATACAATTGATGTTTTATCTTTGTTTCATTATTTTCTCTTTGATTACCGCTTTCTTTCACTCTGCCACGATCTACTTTCGTGCCTTCAAGATGGAAGAGGTAACCCCCCAAGTACGATTAGTTTGAGGAGTTCTAAAGGTATTACATCAAAGTGATATCACCACTAATAATATAATCCAATGGTTTTCTCATAGGCTGACAAGCCCCAATCTTATAAATTCCATTCTAACATCTCCTCAATCGTGGGATATATTGCGCATGTTCCGTGACCTTGGGCATATGCTATGAATTTTGGGGCATGTTTTACTTTTTTCAGTCTGAATCCTTGTAATGCATCTAACTGTAATTACATTTGTTTGTGTTAATGTAAACCCACAATGCAATGCTCCAATTCGTCTTGATGGAATTTCCCTGTCATTTAACCACCACGCATGCCCAATCCAAGCATGTCGATATCCATTTACATTTGCATATTTAAAACTGTTTTTTTTTTATAATTGCTTCTATAAAAGTCAATTATTGAACAAGTGGTATCACAAAAATTTAATATTCCATCTGTAGCATTGTATTGGTAAGCAAAACGATTTGTTGTTTTTTTATTTGAATCTCAAATGGTCAACGTTTATGTTAGCCTGAAGAGGTCGCGTGAGTTGTGTCCTCCATGGTGATCCAAACCCAACAAGTGAGGTCTGGTGCCGTTCGGCCGGCGAGAGCCTACTCACGTTTACATGTCAGAAGACATAGAAGAAAGCCGATATATGTGAAAAAGTATTAGAACTTTTGGGACGCCATTGTCCCACGGTATCATTTCTTAAAAAAAATCAAATTATTGGAGAAATGTACTCCACCCAGATTTCGCATCATATGAGGTTTTCACAAATTGTTATTATGAAGAAAACATTACGTTTTATTGGAAATGATCTCAGTGAGCAATTGTTGTGTTGCTTGCTTTAGGTTGACCTTGACGTAATAATAACAAAATAACAAAAATCAGTAAATACATTATTTGAAATCAAATTCAAATTCAAATTAGTGTTTTTTTTTATTTTTATCTTAGAACCGACGACACTGGAGGCCCCAAAGCAATCTACAAAAACAACAGAACTGCAACAGATATCCAAACCAGCCAGAGTAACCAATACAGCAAGGACAATGACATTCAATACAATAGTAATTTGTATCCACACATCCGCTTCCATAGCAATATATTTTGTATATACAGAAAGGTGACACGTCATTTGCTGATATTGATGGTAAAAATAGCTTTAATGTCCCCGAAAACACTTTCCATTCATTATAGAAAATCGTTTTATTTATTCGTGTATATGTAAATAAGTTTGTGACGTCATTGTATATAATTTACATATATTATAATCGGTGCTATACTCAGTTGTGTCATTCCCTCCGCGGTGTCGACATGGTGGCATCAATCATCGCACATGCGTGCCACACTTGACGTGGCCTATTTTCAACCGTTGTATATAAGCAATCTCTTCTCATCAAATACCAGAATTATACCTGGTCTCATACAGCAAGGACTACGCAGGAAAATCTCCGAAGTTAGAAAAACGGGAGAATATGTTACGTAATATTATACAGAACAAAGGTGGATGCCAATCAGAATGGGCTCTTACTATAGCTTTCTGATAGTTTGGTCAAAGTAATATTCGTCAAGATATATAAATCGGACATGAACAAAGCCAATAATTGAATGTTATGATATGACAATGAACAGACCACATAAGATAATCTCCTACATACTGTTTAAAATTGGTTAAAAAGAATAATTCATTGTGTCAAATATAGTATATGCTGTTTCTGCGTGTTTGTAAACTATGATAACTAAATGGACTAGCTAATTGACCCATCTTCTGGAATAATTGTTGTTTAATAGCGTAAGTGTGTGTTTTATGCGTATTATTTATTGGCTGCGTGTCACCAGGTGCCAACGTGCTAAACTACAACGTGTAATAGTCATCGCATGGAATTCTCGTCAAAAACTGAATAGTAACGTTCATCTGGTATAATTATTGAATACAATACAATAATTGTATAAATCAATTTTGATGAAAAATCATTCATCGGCGAGTATTCAACAACAAAATGAGAGACAACTGTAACAACTTACGTAATTCGTATGATCGCACTTCTTTGACTTTTCTGAAATGCCAACTGACCGGATTACGTGAAGGAGGATAACTCCCGTTGCCTAACCCATCAACTTGATCAGCATAATCACGTCACGTGTATCTCTCGGTCTCAAGTCGAGATCTCGACGGCCATTTAAGAACAGATATATTAATGGAGACTGGACTTCCCTGACAGCTAAATTTACATAATTTCATCAAAATTCATTGAATTTGAAATTTGTTACATACATACATGGTAAATGTCTTATCAATTGCCGCGGGACGGAATCCGATGTTTTTGCAAATCAAAGTCATTTTTGTATTCATTGTAACTGTTTTACAAGGGTGCAATTTACCTGGACGTCCCACATATGTTTGAATACTACGGTAGGAATGTTAGGCATGATGAGAACGTTGTGGGACAGTTGAAATCTTCTTCAAGCTGCATCGCTGAATCGTTTTGGTTTGAACGGCGGAAGAATCACGGTAAACGGTGATACAGCTGTGCTACTCTGCATAAATGCTTGTAAAACACGAGCATTTTCATTACAGATCGTATTTTGATATGTATAAGTGATATGCACATGTATTCTTTCCTTTATCTTCGTTATATGTTATATGGCGTAGAAGCCTTTTAGAAGATCCATATTTAAAAAAAAACGGAGAACACCTATAGGGGATCGTACCTTCTGTTGATTATTATGTTCACATAAACAATGATACAATCTGTTGGTTTGGCAACAAATCCCAAAATAATGAAGTAGCCCGCACTTG